GGCCAATTCGACCATGGTCGTATTCGCCATTTTCTGGCCAATTCGACCATGGTCGTATTCGCCATTTTCCGGTACACTCGACCATCGTCGAATACGCCGTCGAACAGTTTCGAATATTTTATATTATCTATTCTGGATATTTGTGTGATATCACTCTTCATTGCTGAATAGCTATAAGACTTTTCGAAATAACTTGTTTCGAGTTATTACGTCATTTAGAATTAATAGGCAAATTTGAAGTAAGTAAATTTTATTTTACCGATCCAATAGAATACAAAAATTACCCTACCAACGTTGTTTTTTTCTGTCTAAACTTCTTAATACCCTTGAAAAGCAGTTATCATTCGTAGGGATAATGTTTTCAAGATTTTAACGCTGCTTCAACCATAGCTGGATAGTTCGGTGTTCCACATCCAGTTACCGGATCCCAACCAACGAAGGCATAGAACCCGTGATCAGGTCCACCACAACCTCTATTATACCCACTTGTTGTATCATGCAAGGATTTCATGTTAGAATAGAGAAACGGATTTATAAATCCCATTGGAGATTTGTTATTTTGCAAGCGCATATCATTCACGAGAGAAATAATTCCAGCGACTGTTGGGGTAGATGCGGAAGTGCCCATTACATCTGGTACTGGGATAAGGTCGTTAACAATCCAATAATGATCGCAAGCTGCGGATATATCTGGGTAGCCACGTCCTGTCTTGCTGTATAATGAAGCCTTGGGTAATTTTCCAGAATTTTGTAGGTAATAGTTTACAGCAGATTCTTGATAACTTGGTCGTTTGAAGACATTGCTAAATCCACCTCCACTAATCTCATGACCATATTCACCATCGATACCAAATCGGTTATTGAATCCGGTCCCTCCAACAGCGGTTACATAAGGACTTGAACTGGGAAAATCTGGACGGAATTTGTTTTTGTGGCATCCAGCTCCATCGTCTCCACTTGCGAACAAGATAGTGATGCCTCGTACTCCAGCTTTCATAAATTCAACATTGATACGGTTCATGTAATCAACTGACAATGAATCTTCGTTATCGCCGTAACTAACACTGAAAACATTCGGCACCTCGCTCATATTCCCTATCGCGATAATCCATTCCAAAAACGGTTCCTGACTTTCATGTCTTCCTCCTGTACTCCAGAACCACGTAGAAATGTTCGCACCCAGGCTCATGATGTATTGCACATCAAGACTGGCTTCGCTTCCAGGCCGTCCGTCATTCGGACCAACAACTTTAGCGACGTCAGAATGATGCGTAAATCCACGTCCAAATATTGCAAAAAATTCTTTCAAATCAGCAGGACTGTAGTATTGCTCCAGAAATTGTGCAACAGCTTGTTTATTGTTAGGATGCGTACCTACTTTGTCTGCAACGTTATATCTCGAGCGCAATAAAGTTGGATGTACTTGACTATGAGCTCCTTCTATTTCAGCACGTTTGCTTGATGCGAATTCAAAACTCTTTAAGGCAGGAAAACGCAATGAACCACTAACAAAGTCTAAATGCTTTGCGACTTCTCCTGGAACACTATAATGCGTAATAGAACGTATCACCGATTTTGACGTTGCTTTGTGATGAAAACGATAGAACCTGGCCCCATTCAATAAGATTTCAGCAATCACTGATGATATTTCGCAGATGATATAATCTGAATTCATAGTCTCGTGACAATGTTTACTATCAACGCCGCCTTCTTGCAACCACGACTTTACCACATTCATTGACTCGTCCGCTGGCTTCACCAAATTATTAATTTCTTTCATATTTAGATGACGTCCATACTCTTCAGATTTCGGGTCTGAAACGCTCCAGAAAATTTCCTCCAATTTCGCAAGATTTTGATGTTTAATGGCAAATGCGAGACGGACTTTTTCATTCAAAACTCTATGGGTTAATTTCCAGCCTGCGGATTTCCAATGCTCGATATCGTGGTCCACCTCTAAGAACACTCGTTTATCATTTGAGAACGGGATTGCAATAATTTCTGGCCATAAAATTGCTAAAATGAAAAAATGTCCACTTGACAACATTGTTTCTCCACTGAAGTATTGCACCTTTGATTGCACCAGGTTCGCAAACATCACATAATACCACTTATGCCACACTCTATGTCAGCTTCATTTAATGACACATGTCAAAATATCATTTACTCCAATATCAGCCCTACTCTAGTTCTCGCGTTAAGTTTTATAACTATGGTTGTTCCTTTCCTTGTATATTCTGATTTGAGCAAAAATTTAGCTCACTGAATGTCTAACCATCATGTCTACTTTTCAGCTATGGCTGATGACGAAGGTAAAACAATATGTTCTGCTTCTATGAATATCGCGATATTCATTTGTCGGAAATGAAACACGGTGGAACCGAAAATGGCATCTACAGCCAACGGGAAAAAAATTTCGAACCTGATAGCGAGTTGGTTGATCAGGCTGATCAGCGCTCAAAGGTATAGTGCGTAATAGACACAGGCCTTTCGAGGCAGTGAATTCCGGAATATCAGGTTATACTTAGTATCGAGTGACGTAAAGTACCATTTATGTATATATATACAGTACGTCTTAATCAGGGACGCTGGAACAGGAGGGGAGCGGGGCAGTTGCCTTGCTTGTCTTTAACCAGCAGGGGCAGGGGGGCAAAATGCCCTTTTATTTTAGGGACAACCGTCGAGCTTCAAAAATAGCACAATGGTCTGGTGAAAAACTCCCACACACCGTGATAGACATGTCTTTTCCCGACTCGACCAAATTATCCGCCACATATCCAACCTCGTACGCAGGGTCTTTTCTCTGCTTTTCTCTATATCATGTCTATAATCACAGCCTGTATAGAGATCAGTGAGACTATCTATACCAAACAACCTCGCGCGCTTCCTTTTCTTGAATTTCTTCATAAAGCGACTCATTATAAATAAAGCGTGTGGGCAGGAGGCTGGGCCTAAACTAATTGTGGAGAAGACAGAATTTTGGTTTTAAGAACCTCACACATAACCCACATGCGCATAATGGTAAATACTTACATTGAAAGGAGAAAGTGTGGGCTTTCAATAAGTTATTTCTTATTCTTTCAACTGAAGCACTCGGTGGACTAAAAAAAATTATCATAATATTTGACAGACAGCTGCTGCATGCGCCAAACATTAAAATTAATGACCCGTTAAACTTTGCATAAAGACAGTTTAATGACGAGACGTAAACAACTGGTACTCGCTTGCGCTAGACAATACGATTTTAAAACAAGACACTATCTGAACGTTCACATATTGCAAATGTTCAGACATTTTTTGTGGCGAATACGCAATACGATCATATCAATGACACTTCGATGCTTATCAAATATTTAGCAATATGTTTTGTATCTTCACGAGAGATTTTTGCTTCGGAAAGCAGGGCAAAGAAACTAGAGTTAATCAAAGAAGAACAAGTTGATCGAAATCATAGTTTGGATAGTTTAAGCTTTCTTATTTTGGTTTCATTACTAATCGCTCATGTTATAACAGTATGGGTATTTTCAAGGAAAAGGATTTGGTATGTGCATCCGACTGGATTGGCATTAGTTTATGGTAGGTTAAAATTTCTTTTCATTCGTAGTCACTTCAGCGGTATCGTCAACTACATATATTATGCCATAGCCTCAGGAGTCAGGAGTTATGGGTTTGTGGCACATGCGTGAGCAGAATATACCGTGCTTCAATCTTCTGATCTTCTCCAACTGAATGATAGTTTTGACTGGAACAGGGCGTACAGGACTGAAAATGTTGGGCCCGACCACTGATCTGAAGGCCCGACTGATTATTTAATACATACGCAGCCCAAAATTGCGCGAGAAACTTTTCGGCAATTTGTCATTATAATGTAATATTACTACATTATATCATGGATAAGAAAATCAGTTTTTAACTATCCATGATTATATTGACAAGTTACCGAAAAATTTCTCGCGCAATTTTGGGCCGCCTACGCCGGATTAATATGCATCCGCCCCCTCCTCACATATTGTGTGAATCCCAATCCAGAACGGCACTGTGACACACCCTTTAGGGTTGCCGATTATTAGGTAATTGTAAGTCCAGCGGACTCCAGCCTTAGTGAAATTAACCAACGGTTGGAATGATTCACATGAACTGATAACGCAATTACTATGTCTAGTAAGTCTGCTAACAACAAACAGGGGAGGGGGGAACGTTTTCACTATCCTGTATCGATTGATTGTGTTCGATTGATTCTACATTTTAACTTTCGGAGAAATATACAAGCAATTATGGCATAAATTACTAGGAAGTTGTTAGAAAGACATGGTCTTCTTTGTAATTTGAGTATTTATGATGATGACCATTTATCAGCGTTAACTGAGAATTTGACTAAAAACAAGCTGACTGAGTTTTTGAAAGCGCATAGCCAGAGCAATAAAACTTCTAGATAAACATACCCTCGAACTTATCCATTTGCTGCTGTTGGTATAAGCGCGCAGAAATCAACAACGACCGGGCAAAAACGAAATGGTGAAGACTGAAGCAGTAATCTTTTCTTCTTATTTTTCAAACTTTTGAATTTTACGCAAGATCAGAATTCGGTCACGCAATAACTCGATAGAGTATAGTTGCTGTTAAAAATTATTAAAAAGGGGAATTTAATTACTTCTCTGCTATATAAAGCTATAAAGGTGCTCGTAATGCTGGGTTATGCTGCCATGCGGCAATTCGCCAACCCTTTACCAGAGGTGCAGTCATTTCGTACTGGTATCAGGTGCTGTCATTCTGTCAATAAAATACACCACAACAGCGAGGCACCGGGCACCCACGTTTACAATAGTGGAGAAAGAATTTCCATTTATGCATGTCGCTTCTCGTGTAGTCGTGGTGCCAAACGTACAAGCGGAGATCGACATTTTGTTCAGGGCGCCTGTATAACTGCGGTTATTTAAAGCCCTGAAATCAGGCTTTACTCTTGGCTTTACTAGGATGGGTTAAACGGGTTGAGCGGGTTGTCGCCACCGATGCATGAGAGTTTATTATTAACCGAGTTGTAAACTGGAATAGTTTATAAATTATAATAATTTTTACTATATCTATGGGTAAACCGGACTGTAAAATACCTTAAAACAACATGGCTTTTCTTCGCTATACCATGTTATTGGAAACCTTCGTTGCATGTTCAATGCTCTCAAGTTTAACGTGGGCAAACGAGGAAGAGACTGAAAAATTGAAGGAGGAAGAAGCAGCTCGAGAGCATGAACTAAATAGCTCGTTATTTCTCTTGCTTTTTGCACTACTCATTATTACTGTTTTAACCATTTGGCTTTTTAAAGTGAAGCGCTTTCGATTTCTCCACGAAACAGGACTCAGTATCGTTTACGGTAAAGTTCTTGCAATTTTAAACATATTTGAATATGTTATTAAATAAACATGATTGTTGGTTTGCTTATTTATATAAATTTGCATTTCAGCTATTGAAGTATTATGTTGTAGATTATGTAAATGCTTCTGCAAAATGGCCTAGTGGGTGTCTGTGGTAGATATATGCAAGCTAGGGAGTTTTTACACCTTTGCAGTCAATATTCTTAAACTAGACCATGTCATGATACAAATGCACAAAATTCCAGCTGCCAGTATCTTCAATCCAATTTTAGTTTTTGTTTGAAGTTTAAATGTATTATGTTTACGCAACATGCTATTGTAAAATATGCACTTGATTGACTGATGATTCAAGATGAAAACATAAATTGTCTAAATTACGAGTACCATCAGTATTGGACACATGTCTTGGCCAATGTTGAGGTTCGAGCAATGCAATGCAAAAATGGATTGTGTACGGTAGCCATATTTTACTTATAAACAGTCGCATGCCGGCCTGAAGATTTAGTCATGCTATGCAAATTTTAAGTTATTATCATTATTCATTTTTAGAAATTCATTGTTTTCACAGTCAATGAACACCAAAATATTAGCATAGCATGACTAAATTGTTGGGCTTGCTATGCCAGTGCTTATAAACATGTGAATATGGGGAATATTCATCCACCTCACTACATGCATCCCTGCCCATTCCCCCCAGGATTGATGCCCACTTGGTCTTGAGCATTAATAGTCTCTCAAATATAGACCAAAATTATTGGAAATTAAATGGGCCATCACATGTTGACCATTTTCCTCAAGAAGAGAAATCGTGTTGCATACTGTCACCTGTAATAACACATGCAAACTTGTTTTTGCAGGTATCATCATTGGTGCCATTATGAGATATGGTATTAATTTATCACCAAAGTCGCATTTTTCTTCAAACTGCACAATCAACAGAACTGCAGCTCCCACAAATCTATGGGTGACTGTCAATGGTACAAGATACTCGTATAAATTGTCGGGACCTGTGAATGAAACTGCTAGTGAGAATGCAAATGATAATTTAGAGGAAAAGGTAAATTTTTTAGCGATGTTTAATGAGGACATGTAAATCGATGTATGACTAGACAAGCCATTTCCACTGTAACCTTTTTGGAAGTGGTGAAACTATTTTCTATTCTGGAGACACAACTGAGGGAAATAAATGTGTCCCTTTGCTATATATTTTGAATGCCTGCCCTGTAGCTAGTATATATACTTCTTGCATCACTCAATCTCTCATGAGTTGTCTAATTTATTGTATTCCAGGCTGTTTTTGATCCTGAAATATTTTTCAATGTTTTATTACCTCCTATAATATTTTATGCTGGCTATGATATGAAAAAGGTAACATTTTATTTAAATAATAATGATATTATTGTCTGCCTGCAAAAACAGTTGTCTCTCTATATGTATGTTTATGTGCAAAATTGCCATTAAAAGAATTTTTAGTCATGCCCTAAAATATTTGCTGCAGCATTTTGCCTTGGGAGATTTTAGATAGATTTTAGATATTGGGAGATTTTAGATGGATACTGCTATGATCCTTGTTTTGTTTTAGCGTTTTTTCTTTCGTAATATTGGGGCAATACTCACCTATGCCTTTGTTGGAACAACTGTTTCATGCATTATATTTGGGTGAGTGAATTTATAAGTTGTGTCTTCTTGTTCAATGTATGTTCTCTGATGTTAGGTGAATAATGGTTTATGTAATTGCTTTGCAGTTCAATGATATATGGTTTTGTGAAGTTTCAAGGGATAGAAAAGTTTGATTACATTGAGTCACTTTCATTTGGTGCCCTCATATCTGCTACTGATCCAGGTACCTACAGTTTGTTTATAACTTGGATTGCTGAAAATTTTCAGAAGCAGGTTTAATGGCATTGAATTCACTTAGTAGTGCTTGTCACCCTCTGTTCTGCTTGTAGCAATCGTCCCAACTTGCGGGTAATTGGTATTTGTGATACAGGCTGTATGCTGTGACTAGACTGTTGCTAAAAACTAGACTAAACTCCTCTTCCCATAAAACTATTAAATAGTTCATATACTGTGCAGGGAGGGTGGAAGGAGGATAAAGAGGGAAGTTTCCATGGTTGCAATTTTATATAACATTAAGTGTGTTTCCTTTCTTACAATGAAATTATACTGTAAAAACATTGTTCTTAATAAATTACCAATGCCAGGTTTAGCCTTTTAGGAAGTTTATTATCAATTAATTATTTTTTTCTGATGGAAAGATTCTTCTAAATTGCAGTAACAGTGCTAGCAATTTTTCATGACATGCATGTTGATGTTGATCTATATGCTCTGGTGTTTGGTGAAAGTGTGATGAATGATGCTGTAGCCATTGTCTTATACCGGTAGGTTCCTCCTGAAAGATTTGAAATTCTTGGGTGTTTCAGGAGAATGGTTCCTGTTGGGATAATTTACGTAGTTACCTAGCTGCATGCAAGGATTATATTTCATTTTCAATAGTTATGTACTGTAAGGTTAATGATTGTGGTATTTTTAGGTCAATCAACAGTTACTCTTCCAACAGTGGAGCATTTAAGTTCACTTCCTTATTGTCTGCTATTGGTGTTTTTATTGGTGTTTTTGGTGGATCATTTGCAATTGGAACATTAATGGCATTGTTTACCTCAATTGTATCCATATAATCTAATCTCCTATCAATTAGACTGCGCCATTTTATCAACAGATAAATCAGGCGCAGGTTGTATGAAGTTAATTCAAATATTTAGGTTCTGATTAGCCAGTTAATTACCTTTTGAACAACACAACCTACCCCTGTTCTAGATCACTGTATGTATCACAAACTTAAGAGAGTATGAACATCATTGGAGAATAGCTTTACCGTTTCTCCACGCAAATTAAAGTGGAATGTTATGACCTTCAACAAAATTTCTTAATGTTACGTACGTACATGCTGAAATGTAAACTGAAGAAAAGTGAGTCAAAAATAATATTTCTTAACAAACAATATAGTTAACCAAGTTTACGAACATTAAAGACTTTCCATTGCTGGAGACTGCACTATTCTTTTTAATGTCATGGTGCACGTTTCTCATGGCCGAGGCTGCTGGTTTAACAGGTAAAAGTTGATGGAGCTTCTTAAAAAAGCATATCACTGTAGTTGTATGAAATTGTTTTCATACATTAAAATTTTCGAATCCCCTGACGTTACATATTGGAAACTGACTGCCTAGTGATTGGGCCCTAATTATCATCAACCAGAGAACATCCCTTTGAATTTTTATTGTGTATGACTTTTTACTCTGTGATTAAAATTTTTCTCTTGGGCATAGGTATCGTCGCTGTTTTATTCTGTGGAATATCACAAGCACACTATACGTATGATAATTTATCAGATCATTCTAAAGAAAGAACAAAACAGGTACACATAATGTGGCTATTTCGGTTTTATTTAGAGCTACTTCAATGGTGGCTCGTCGATAGAATGCATTTTCTGCCATTTCTTGAATATTGCAGGGTTTTTCACAACTGATTAAATTTAATTGTTTCTGTGTATTTTTTCAGACCTTGGTGGTGTTAGAATGCAATGCATTCTGCCTTTCTTGAATATTGCAGGGTTTTTCACAACTGATTAAATTTAATTGTTTCTGTGTATTTTTTCAGACCTTTGGTTTGCTTAATTTCTTGGCTGAGAACTTCATTTTTTCGTACATTGGCCTGTCAGTGTTTACTTTCAGTCGACACAAGTGGAATGTTGGTTTTATTTGTTGGTCATTTGTATCCTTTCTTTGTGCTGTGAAAAATGTACCTGGGAAATGGTTGTGTACATATATTGTATAGTGACAGAAATTGTATTTGATTGTATGCGAAAACAAATTTTAATATCTCCTGTATATTTGCATGCTGCTTTGAATTTTGTGTTTAGTGAATTGGTTTTCGTGTAAACGATATGATAGCATTTGCTTTTAAATATTAACATACATGCTGCGTACAGACCTCACTTTTCAACCCCATCCTAAATTAAACAACGGTGATAACGTAGTCTAACCAACGTCGTGAACACGAATTTAGTTAGCCTTTGATGTAGAATGATGGCGAGGATCTAGTCTCTTTCGCAGGGCGCTTTACGAGTTTAGATAAATGCGTATGAGATAAATGCGTTCAATTTTCTTTAAGTTTTGAGCAGTTGGGTTTGCTTGTATCGCGTTTCTTTAATATCTATCCACTGTCATTTTTACTCAATTTGGGAAGAAGAAGAAAAATATCGGCAAAATTTCAAAACATGATGTTCTTCGCTGGTACGTGAACGATCAACACAATTATACAGTATGAAAAGTTTAAGTAATAATGATACGATATATGTATCGTAATATCGTTATCAATACTACGTAATCTATATTATCGTGCATGATATATATTGCTCATGTCATTATCTGTACCGCGTTTACTACCCCTTCTGCTATACCACTTCAGTTACAATTACTATACTGGTACTAATTTTACTTGCTGTTACTGCTGCCATTTTTAATGTGTGGATTATTTTGTTTTTCTCAGGGCTGCGAGGTGCGGTGGCATTTGCCCTTGCCATACGTAATACGTCTTCGGTTGCAAGACAGATGATGCTTACAACGGTGTTGGTCATAGTTCTGGTTACTGTTGTTTTCAATGGAGGTGGAACAATGTCCATGTTAACTTATCTTAAAATAAAGTAAGATATACGGAACATTCTCTTTACAACCTCTTAATTTAAAGCGAGCAACCTATTTTTTTCTTGTCGGGGCCATTTAATACCGAGGAATTAACGTTTATAGTTTTTCTAAGGAGAAGTTGGGATTTTAGCAGAATTTTTACATTTTTCTAGAGTTGGTGTTGACCCAGATGACGAAGACTTTGAGGATGAAACAAGTTTCCAACGGGTTTGCAGTTCTGTAGGTTTTTTTGCAATAACCACAGCCAGTCGAGCAAACGTTGTAGTATACCAAACTTCTACAAAGATTAAGATTAAGATTTTGGCTTGGAAATTTGTGTACGTGGCAATGTTTCTAGCCGTGTTTCGCTAGTCGACACGTTTTACTTGCAATGTTTGCTCGGCCATATTTGATTATACGAATCAATTTTGATAATAATATCAATCATATATATGATTTTGATCATATCACGATTAAAGCGATTGAAATCTTTTAGATAATTCCTAAACTAACATAATTACTAGATCCTATATTGAATACTAAAACGTGTCACTTAAACCACATACTTAGTAATGCATGCAGTACCGGTAACACAACATTTTCAATAACCCAGCATACGTGAGCACCATGCATCGTCGAAAACATCTGTGAAGGGTGGCTCAATATAGAACCACGGGCGAGCCATTTTTCTCTTAACCAATAAGGCGTCATGTGTTTCCTATTCAAGGAAAAAATTATAAATGAATATCAATTAATCATATATCTTCTTTCGTTATTTTTAATTTAAATTCAAAGTCAATATTGATTCAAAACTCCGTTTTAATATACCCTAAACGTTTAGTATATTCACTTGACCGTTTATACTTGACGTTTTATTTTGATGCGTACCGTAGAAAAGGCCCAACTACTAAATATGCATTATCGACCATCTTCTCAATTTCTTACTGCAATAATCGTATTTAAATGCATTTTCTTTCTGCTTGGTGTGGTGGGAAATACAACGGTGGTTATATTTCATGCTTTTGTGAATCGCGAAAAAACTCCAAAGAATTATTTGGTGACAAACCTCGCTTGTGCGGATCTTCTGGTTTGCTTAACATGCTACCCGATATGGATTTTTCATTATGTTCAAATCATAAATGGAATGGAGAATCCCTCAGAATTTATCTGTAGGTTTGCGTATGTTGGTGGGACAGTTGCTGTGGCGCTTTCAATCTTCGCCCTTTTGGCCATCACCTATGATCGATATGTCTTTATTCTCCAACCTCTTCATTATGCTTCAGTAATGACTCAAAGGCGAACTTGCTTAATACTTGCTGGTGTATGGATAATTGGCTTAGCAGTTATACCATCATCGATGTTGATTGAAGTGGCAGGCAAACTACAAGGAAAGTGCGGAGACGTCCCTCGGAGCGAGATGTGGATTTTGATTGCTGTCGCTGACGTTCCTATTGCTTTCATTGTGTATCTTAATTGGAAAATATTTCATGTTGCTCAGGAGCAGACTCGAAGAATTGCGAATCAAAATGCTATTACACATCGGAATACATCTCGTAAAGGCGATGTTAAGGAAATTAAAGCAATAAAAACATTCGCCTGTATCACAGGAGTCTTATTTTGCTGTTTTTTCCCAGTATCTATCTTGATCATAGTGGAACAATTAGTTTGCAGTACTTGTATTCCAGTTATATTACACTGTTTGATCCTAGAAATGATTGGAATTAACTCGATCGTAAATGCTTATATTTATGGTATCAGGCATAGACAGTACAGAACGGGCTATGGCGAAATCGTCGCTATGTTTTTCACCTGTCTCAAAACCGGAAAATTGAGATAACTATATCTTATTGGTTTTATCATTGAAATTTAATTGATATCATTACAATGACAGAAATTGCATGTATTGTATGCGAAAACAAATTTTAATATCTACCGTATAATTGCATTCTGTTTTTAATTTTGTGTTAATAAGTGAATAGGTTCTCGTGTAAACTATGATAGCATTTGCTCTTTCAACATTATCAGTCTTGAGTGTATGAACACCATAGAAGTAACTAAAGCAAGCCAATAATGACATGTTTTAAATAACAAATACTAAAGTATAAATGATGTTTGCTTGCATAATACCTATGCGATAGAGTAAAGTGCTGGAACTAAAAGTGTATGTTTAACTAAACATGCAATAAAGTAAATCAATAATGCAAAAACGTATTACCTGTCTTAAAAAAAATGTATGATATACGTAGCTGGATGGCTATGATTGTTAGGAATTATGTCTATTAAGTCTTCTATTATAGATTACATCTAAAACGAATGATTTACCTTGATTTGTTTTTCGTTTAATTATTTGAAATGGCGAGAATTATATTGCTGTGGTTATTGCTATCATATGTTACTAGTGTGCTATGAACATCCTTATAATCGCTAATATGGACTGCAGCAAAAGTCGCAAACATACCCACATGTTCACTCGCGGCTATTGAGACGTTCACGAAAAGCATGGAAACTAGCATGTCCTCTTCAAAGGAATATAAACTTGATGTTATGTTAGACTTGTTGATAATTCGTCATTTTACATCAAGAATGCTCACATTTATGTTCTATTGCACTATTAGGAAGATGATGCTGATACTTCAGAGAGACAGCAATATTATGAAAGGGCGTGGCTCATTCGAATGTGGTACGATTTTGATAAGAAGTATCCTTTATTTGTAAAATAAGTTCAATATTGCTAATATGATTTAGCACAGATTCGTTGCTTCCCTGTCAGTAAGAACTCGTTTACGGTCGTTTGCTTCATCATCTGGACCTGTTATCTCCCATCACAACACGAACGGCCTACATATATCGTCATGGAATAACCAACGTGGTAATTTTTTTTAGACAGATATTCCGAAAAGATTTATTTGACTGTATCGTTTGAAAATGTGCTTTAGCTTATGTAAACAATTCTTAACAAAATTGTAAAGATACATGAAGCCATTATTTACTAAGTCTGGCCCACCTCTCTCTGAAACCCTTCCTGGGTGGTGTGGTCCTTTAGCTCTTTGCTTATCAAAACCAAACATCGACGAAGCCAAAGCTCAGGTAACGGGTTGTTTTGTCTCACTTCATTGAAATTAATGATCTTATGATCTTATTCAATTCATTGCTGGCATTCAATTCGTTAGCAGGAAAATTATTCTCTCAACATTCTCCTAAAAACTTTTGGTATAGTTGTACCATCCCTGTATGAATATATTATCTCTTTGTGTTTCAATGTTCCTCAGTTTTTCTGGTATTTACAAATACGAAACTCAATTTTCCTTATAAGGAAGGCAAAGGGATTCCCTGAAATCAGGATAGGACTTTCCTATTAAATTTTGTATAACTTCCATTCTTTAGCAAAAATCCGAATCAGAAAGCATTGAGGGTTTTGAGAATTCTACAACATACGAGAGGAGAATTGATGACGAAACTGAACCTGGAAACGAAGATGTTGTGATCAGGCAACCAGTGCTAGGCCCACAAGATATTGAAATGACTGAAGGAGATTTAGGATTAGGCGACCGAACTTTTAATCCTAGAAGTTAAAAATAATCGTTTTATACAATCAGTAGGAATTCACATTTTCAATAATGAACGAAAATTTTCATCATCCACTCGTTATTCTAATTATCATGCTGAAGCATAATTTGTTAATTATATATAATAGTGTTATTTTTAATTTGAAAAATATATAGCTGCAACGCTGCTAGCTGCTCATTTATAAAATTTTCTTTCTTATTATTCATGTCAGTTCATATTGCTCGATCACCAGCTTCGTAGGACTCAATTACTTTGCCTTGTACAATCTGCCTGTCGCGATGATGCCTGCATTTGAGTGTGCACCTGATTCCATTTCTGGTTATCCAATCACGTGATCTTATTAGTATAAATGTAATGACATATCACATGAATACCACATTTTATTTAACTATACCATCAGCATTTCACCCTTTGTATCGTTCTTATCTAACGTCAACAGCTTCTATGAGTTCAAAATAAAGTGCTATATTTGCCATGACGATACTGGAAACTACTTCAAACTAACTGCGTTTTAAGAGATGTGAATAATAGGTATAAACAGGACCTTTGCTGCCATTGGGTAGTTTACTAATTCTAGTGCATTTTAATTATTACTCAAAAAAAAAAACAAAAAACAACATACATTTAAAGCTAGTATACACACATTTTTAATAATTTTTTTTATGAGTACTGGCTGCCAAAATAACCAAAGGGCTAGAAAAGCTGGCAGTCAGTTGATTTTACTTGGTCATCTTATTTAAATAACTAGCACCAAATACAAGGACGGAATATAACAAAAAGAAAACAACAACAAAAAATTTATGAAAAAAACATTGTTATGTAAGAAAAATTAATATTTCTCAAGGAAGCTTTCTTTAACTCTCAGTTTAAATTTTTTTAAAGAATGAGATTTAAGATCGTCCGCAATGAAATTCCAAATTTTAGCCCCTTGAAATCTGATATTAAAAATTCCATAATTAGTTCTAGCTTTGGGGAGCAAAAATGACTGCTTAGTAGATAATCTAGTACCATAGTTATGTTGGCTACTTACAGGAGAGAAAAAATCATTAAAAATAGGCGGTAACATCTGATTATAAAACTTATACATGAATAAAAATCACATAGTTTAAGAAAATTCAAATATTTAAAAATCGGACTGGTATGTTCACGAAAACTAGAATTAGTTAGAATACGTACAGCTTTCTTTTGTAAAACAAACAATGGCTGAAGAGTAGTCTGGTATGTGCTTCCCCATACCAGAATTCCATATGTCAGAAAAGGATAAACAAGAGCATAATAAAGTGTTTTAAGAGTTGATAGACTAACATAATGACGAAGTTTTGAAATAATTCCAATATCCTAGATTGAAGCGTTATTCGAATATTCACACGTTATCAGACCCGTTGGCTCTTGCGGAAGTAGACAATGTTATTTTCGAAATCTCAAAAATTTTTAAATTTTTTGATATTTGTACATCTGGTATGTCAGGTGATATTTTGATTGTCGACGTCATTCTCGTTAATTGTTTAGAATTTTTAACATTTCCTCTAAATTAAGTCTTGATTAGAATCTACCTAACCATCTGCTTGCTTTTCATTTTTTTTAACTTAATGAGCTTACGTACATTTTCAAGGATCGCTTCAGCTATCATATAGGATTTTCACAGTTTGAAAATCACACACCCGTCCTTTGAATAATTCCAAGGATCTGGGGAAACTTGAAATCTACGGCCATGAGGCTGAAGATCGCTGTAATTTTTGAAATAAAAACTTGGTTAGAAAAACAATAGAAGACAATAGAATTAGAAAGAATTACAGAACTAAAATATTGTTAGAGTATACTTTCAAATGGAAGTAAGGTATTCATATCCCTGACGGCTGACCCTGAACTAAATCAAATTTGATAGGTTGAAACTCAAGATGGATATTTAGGACAATGATATAGGAGTCATGGCATATTCAAGATTAGGAAAAGTGTCTGAATGAATGCCTGAGTGAATTACTGCAACGTTGAGAACATAGTTAAATTAAAACCCTTCTCTGACTCTTTGTTTATTTTACGATTCACCTGGTGGTTAGTGCAATTAGATAAAGGCTGCAAAAAGCATTTAGCAACGGAACTATAACAATAAAATGATTGATCTCTTTTTAAACTTGGCTTAAGTGTCATTAAATTAGGATAATAAAAAGGATTTGGTATAAAAAATGGCAGTCGCATGGGCATGTCAGTTACGAGGTACACTTAAGATAACACTGTTTTCATTCATAACTATAGGAACACGCTATATGTGGCATTAGGCCAATCGATAAATATAAGGATTATAAATTCAGACAATCTTTGCGAGAACCTTGACTGCCTTGTTGGGAAAAATCACTTAATAGATATCAAAATGTAACTGCATGTTAGGCAGGAAACGATCGTAACGTGATCGTAACAGTTTGGCACTGCATGTTTTTGGTTCAGTGTTCTAAATGTTGTTTTTCAGCACTGTTGCCAGAAACGTGCCGAGCGGAAAGCGTGCATGAAGTTAGCCTTAGTAAAGCCATAAAACTGAGACAATTTCAACAATTTAAAAGTAATACAAACATATTTGATAGTGACGTTTCGTCGTAACTTGAGGCATTAGACTTTAGCCTCAGTGTTTTAGAAATATTTGAAGATAAAATTTACCATATACACTGTTATTTTCAGGGTGTTATTTTAACACCACTTTTAAGGGATTCTAGGGGTGTAATAGGGGAGTTACAAAATTCCAGCTTAATAACTCCATAGTTGGACTTAAAATAACACCACGTAAGGGGGTTACACGCAATGTAACACCATTTTGGGGGTTAAAATAAGTACATTATACCACGTGATCAAGCCGATGCAATCATGCAAAACGAGCTATTTTTCAAAACCTTCGCAAGCACTGCTGGTTCCACGGGAGAATTGCCTGTATTTTTAAAGATAAATTACGACTAAAACCGAATTGAACGAGGAAAAGTCAAAGAAAGGTTGGCGGATTTGCTGTATGCAGTTAAAAACGGCAATGTACGTACTTGAATATCATTTTCATGCCTCTTCGGAGTGGCGACTGTTTACCTGCCGATTGTGGATATAAATTAAACTGCAGTTCGTGAGCTAAATTGTCTGTAATTCTCTGTTGGAAGAAAGTGTACAGTTGCTCAGCCATCCAGGATACAAACACAATTGCGCTGGTGTGTAATATATTTTCAATATTTCAACAGAAAACCTTCAGCAAGTGTCGACAAAATAATTCAATACAAAACTATTAATGTAGGTCGCTAAAAATATCTTGATATGGAACAGTAGACATGAAAAACATTTTTCATATTCTCATAGTCTAAAGGAAAATAAGGACTTATATATGAGTTAAATATATTTAATAATAGGATGAAAAGGTATTATATATAGTATAATATATCCTAACGTAGGCAACTTCAATCACAATATCGAGATGTACACATGAAAACAATCCGAAAATACGTCAATTAATACCTAAAACTGATCTAAAATAACAAGTGAAATGAAATCTACATATTTTTACTATATACTGCCTATGTTTTAACTTTGAAAACAAGTTATAGAAGCGAGAAAAATGCGAAGTTTTTGATATTTTACTCATTTTTTAAATGGGCCGTTGCTGGACCCGCGCTGCATGTTGACGTTTGAAAATGACGAATTCGTAATCTCATTGGCTGTCACAACAGCAAGAAAAAAAACAGCCAATGAGGTTACGAATTCGTCATTTTCAAACGTTCTTAAAAGTCTACAGCGCGGGTCCAGCATCGGCCTATTCCAAAAATAAGTAAAATATCAAAAACTTTTCGCATTTTTCTCGCTTCTATAACTTGTTTTCAAAGTTAAAACATAGGAAGTATATAGTAAAAATATTGTAGATTTCATTTCACTTGTTATTTTAGATTAGTTTTAGGTATTAATTGACGTATTTTCGGATTGTTTTCATGTGTACATCTCGATATTGTGATTGAAGTTGCCTACCTTAGGATATAATTTGTAAAGTTTTTACAATGCATTTGTTTGTTCTTTAAAAGAAAAATGTTTAGATTTCTGATGATTTATCAGGAAACTTTAATATGAAGTTGTATTTATGTTGTAAATATTGTAGATTGGATATAAAGTAATAAAATTTTGCTCAAATTTTTGTATGATTCTTTATTTCTTTCCGGGTATTATAGCGTGATCCTGAAAATGGGGTTATTTTAACCCCAAAATGGGAGTTAAATGTAACCCCAAAATGGGGATTAAAATTTAACTCCAGAAACGGTGTTATTTGTAACCCCAAAAAAAGGATTATTTTCGATTAAATCTCGTAACCCCTGTTTTTGGTGTTAAAATAACACCCTGAAAATAACAGTGTATGCATGCATACGCACGCTATAATAAGCTATAAATCTGAAATCCTGAGTCTACACCCAATTTATCAAGTAGATAGGTCATATCAGCATGCATGACGACCCAGCACTGAAATGAACTAAAAGATAATATTGAATAGATCCACGATTGACGAAAATAAATCATATAAACAAGGGCACAAATTTTATGCATGATTTTCTTAGGAGTGAAGGGAACTTTTAAAGAGATAGCGTATGCCCCACAAGTTTCCCCCCAACCTCGTACCCAGGGTAATTTCGCTGATTATAGGGTTCCCCCTTCTCTTGTCTCGCTCGCCTGGTTATAAGGCAATATTTTTGCCTGTGGTGTTAAACTGACTGAAAATGAAAACTCAACCGGAATTAAAATTATTATAATCACGAAAGAAACTGAGGGAAAATAACATAGCCAAAGGTTAATTGCTTTTATTGCGTGTCTATGATGTTTATCTCTGTACTTCAAATAATCTGAAAATGGAAGAAACCGGAAAGTTTGATCTGGTGCTAAATTCTCACACTCATTACTTACATGCATCAGCTGTTTTTTTGCGAAGATGGTATTTGAACTATTAAAATGATTCTCATACCAGCTCCGTTTTATTACAGAGATGAAGGCGAAGAGCGAAGATTGAATGGTACATATTTACATCGTCTTCACAACAACGTCCATAACGATCGAATTACTCCCCCCCCCAATTTTTCGTACATTTATGACTCAAATTTCTTAAATTCTTCCGCATTCATAGAAATGCATGCCGATGGATGGTACTATAGGGGGTATGGTTTCACAACTGAAGTGATAACAGTGATAGAACGCTAATTATACGCGACTGTGTCAACTGCATGGATTAAATCACGGATCTTACTATACGAGTTTTAGATAATGAATCACAAACGTCATTATATCCACAAAATACTGAAGCGTCTGCGTGTGTTTGAGGCTTAAGGGCCGCTTTCCATTGTCGCGTTTTTTGCACGTACTTACACGCACGTAAAAGCTTAAAACATTCTAAGTTATTGTATAATTACGTTTATGCCAGAAAAAAACATACCGAGTCACCAATAGAATTCAACCCTGTGCATCATTCAATCGTTTACGTGCAGCGTGCGTGTACGTACATACAAAAAACGCGACTGTGAAAAGCAGCCTTAAGTAGTGTCAGTAGCATAGCCAGCCTGACGATTTAGTACCACGGTCATAAATATAAGTTGTATTTCTTGACTGTAGAAACAATCGACCACCAAAGAAATGAATAATTGCAATGACTCAGACTACTTTCACATGGAACCGACGAATTTTGGACCGTGCTTGAATTCGTCTGCGTTAGGCCATGCTTTCCATGCACATATATGTATGTCATATTTGAAAAAGCTAGGTGAATATATCGAAAAAAACTTTATATAGTTTTCCGTATATTTTAGTATGCATTTGTTCACCCACTTGTGAAATAAACGCGTAAATGAATAGCAGTCCTTACTGTGTGAACATGTATAACCCTCGGTAGAACCAATCAAATTTTCACTGGATCCACTTTTCAGTTACGGGGCGTAGACCGTAGACGCCCGGACAGGGCGAATTTGAGCGCGGTTCATCCGGCTACGCTACTGATAATGTGATACATTAAATAAATTAAACTGTGGTAAAGTATCTAAAGGTCCAATTTTGTTGGATCCATTTCACTTCTGACATATGGAATGTAGTCTGTCATTGATATAACAGTAATGCATTGGCTTCAGTGCATTTGCTGCGCATAAACATCATAAGACAACAGATTATATTCCATACGTCAGAAGTAAATTGGATCCAACAAAATTGGATCGTGTGAACAGACCTTAAGGTTTATAATTGAGTGCATTTTTCCTAAATATAAAGACTCTTTCACTATCACAATCCCATCAGGCAAGCAAGATCCCACGCTGCATGAATGTTTAGGAAACTTTTTTTAAATCATTTCAATGACAGAACTCCGAGAATGACTGGAATATTCGATTTCGATAGTGTCGTGACTGACAAGACCCACCGGGACGTTTCTCACAATGATATGCCTCTAGCATTAGGTCAATTGCAAGAAGCCAAGCCAAGAACGTCATCCCCTGATAATTAAATGTAAGGGTCATTATAATGTGCAGAAGAGGACTGGCCACGACTGAGGTCCCCGAGTTATCCGGGCAGGAGACTGATGACGAGTACTCTCGTTTATGAAAGAGAGAGAGTGGTCTCATGAGAGAGAGAGAGTGCTCAATTTGGAAACACTTGTTGTTTTCTCACAAAACGAACCAACGAGTCCTGGCTAAAGGACCAAAGAGACCTAAAAAAGAAAGTGGACAGCTGGGCCTATGATTTTCAAATCAGTTGGAATGGATTATTCATGATTGTACCGACCCATTTAAAAATAAGCACACTGAATCAAGGAAGTAGTGTACATTTCTGATTTCCATTTTGTAACCCTGTAACAATATTTATTGTCTTTATCACCTCTATCATAAATGAACCATGCGTCAAGACTAAAATTTATTTAATTAAGATCGCCAGGTGGGGTAAAATGTATCGAGATATTGTGAACGTGTACGCTATATGATTATTCTGTAAAAATAAATAACTTTTATTTATTAAAAAAGCGAAAATGCTTTCATTTGATGAAACGAGATGGGCTGCGCAGAATGTACGCTTTGCCAGCTAATTTACAACCACTGTTGGATGCATACTCCATATGCCACTATTAAGCATGATCGAGTACACTCATTTTGAAAATCTGGTACCACTTCAATTTATCCGTTGTTTGCAGCTTTACTCTGGCATTAACACTTATATAAATATATACATAATGTATAAATCTGTCCCATATTGACCTTACTGCATAGTTCGCATCCGAGGTAGGTGATTTATGATTTATCACCCATAATTTTTGATAAAATTGTAATCAGTTCCCGTTGCTTTCCGTAAGGATAATAGGCAAAGTTGGCATAAAACCACTGGTTAAAACATTCCCATTTCGCGAATTTTCGCCATATTTCAAAAGCATAGCAACTGTGCACTTTTGTTTTGAAAGTCATGTATTGATTCGCGAAGGAATTAGGAATTTTTCCGTCAACGGTCTTTCTTCATTAGAAATCTGTTTCCTGCTTCGGGTAAGGTCAATCTGGAGGTCAAGAATATTGGGTGATGTTATTAGGAGAACGTTTATTGCCGCGGTGTTGTCTGTCATGCTGGTGGTTATATCTTGTGCGTGCAAAGACAAGAGCTTGAGACAGATGTGAAGTAACTGAGATAAACACGTTCATAGTTCGTGCGTCCATAAGTTCATCAGATAACCAGTCTTGTGAGTCAGAGAAGAAAATGTAGATTTTATTCATCATGTCAGCGTAAATGGTATCAAATTGACGGCAGAGAGACCTACAAATATCAAGCAATGTGATCAACTACAGGAATGAGGTAAGCCTTAGAATGAAGATCATGAAAGTCTAGTTGAAGTTGTTACATGCAGTCATCCAATAAGGATGGTGTTCGGTACATTGCGTGTGGTTGTTTTAGAATGAAGAATTGGTAAACTTGTAGTTCCGTGACTGTGAGTTTTTACTTTGATTTAAAAGATATATCATTGCAAAATACTTTAAATCATAGAAATAAGAGGAAACATATGCCCGTAAAGAGAGCCTGGGATTTACCAGTCCGATCTCGGTTCAATCTCGGTCCAAGTGAAGTGTTATCAGGTAACTCGGCTAAATATATCTCAGACAGACCGCGCCGTATGTGCTGGTGCTTTGTCACATTATAGGAATATCAACTAAGAGGCATATTAAGAGATCATGAACAAGCTCAGCCGCGCAAATCCATATAAGCGTGCACGCGTGCACATGAAATTGTTGCGCTCATATTTTACGTCTATATATAGTGTTTGATTTTGTTTGTGTGCATGTATTCGATATCGAGTCACATTTCGATCAATGAAACATATTTTGAAATGACTGTAATGTACAAGAACTCTTTTAAATACTCCTTGAATCCAGGGTAAAATTAGTTACCGAGTTATTTCATTATTTCCATGATTAATTATCTGCAATTCAAAGCCTTAATGTGTCATGAATGGAGGTAAAAATGGAAAAGTAACTTTACACCTTCATAAATTTTACTCCTATACCATACCATCATATTGTCCGTTTACGCAGAAATATTTGAAATCTTTTTACGTTAATGGATTACACCACGCTTTTTATAATCAATTGTTTTTGGTGTTTTAGTTTTCGAATAGTTCTACTCAATAAAACTACATATTATAGCTTCTCGTAGAGAAGGGCCTCAAGCCATGAAAAAAAATTACCCGATCAGCAATTTAATTGTCGCTCACCGGGTAATTTGCTGTCTGTTTATTTGATTATTTATTTTAAACACACAAGTAAAGTTTATTTACAGCATTTCATAAGCTTGGAGAATATTCTGCGAAAATCGCAAAAGTACCTCTGCCCAAATCAAAAGTCTAAGTCTCACGACCAAGATATAACGCCGATAAAAAACCGGAGTTACGTCAAGAATTCTAATTCCTCATTAATGCACAAGGCGCGCACGCCACTTCTTGAGTTGCATCTCAGTTGTGAAATGCCGAGAATTCATTTGTTGTTCTTTTAAAAATATAAATGACATAAACTTTACTTTTATCAAGACAGTCACGCGCGGGATGCAGGTTAACACACAATCCAATTTAAGTATCATCATCTGAGAAGCGAGATTATAAAGGTATTCGTAAGATAACCTGAATGATATGCGTGTCAAGTGTCAACCCTCAAGCCATGTAAATCTAAATATTCCAATTTTGTGCTGCGATCGGTCATAACTCATGAGAGTGATATAGATTAAGCAAACTCGATTAGCTTAGCAGGATATATGAGGAGGTCCGGTTATATCAAGATGGTGAAAACATATGACGGGAAATATCAATTGTAAATGAAGAATTTTAGACGTCTGATCTGTGAGATAACAGTGAGCAATAGCTGCATTAGGTTAACAGAGCACGAGTGGGATTGACATATGAAAAGAATAATTAATTATTTAGAATAGAAGATGTACATTGCGCTTCAATTTTCAATTCCTATTGAGAATTACGCAAGGTTATCTTCGCCTGAAGCTTTGTCCCAATGAATGTAACCTATATATAAGAGCAAAATAGAAGCTGATGTTTTGATCATAATCAACCGTCGTGGCGGTATTTTTCCTTGCTGACGCGCCGTATCGGTTATAAAAAGTGACAGGTCTAAACAACCTTTTTGTTTAGATATAATTCATCAGAGTAGGTTCGAGAAACTGTGCAACAAAACAGCTAAAGTTCATTCATATATATATGTTCGAAATTTAACTAATTTGGCTACCGAATCGGGGATCTAAATAGTTGTTGTGTTTTTTTACATCGCAAATGGCTCCAGCTGCGATGCCATGCAACATCAGTTTTACGGTCCGCGACAATTCTATATTTATATGTATTGTAATATACATCTCGATCATATAAAAGTAATTCAGTAACTGCATGAATATCGTATATGCGCAATAATCGATAATCAATGTATAAATATTGACCATAACCATATAATGATTTTGGTATGCGAAAAATTCACATCTACGCATGAATCGTGTTGTGAATCATGGCAAAACTGTCAATTATTTTCCACTTATTTTTTTTTCTGTACTATTTTCGTTTGACACTATGACACTGGTCCTTCAAAATTAAACAGTTCCCATAAAGTCTTGTGGTCGCTATTTAATGCGCCCTGGAGGTGCATGTGCAAGGAATAACCTTAAAATTTTAGGTACCAACGACGTTTATCAGATTCAAAATGACACTGTCGGTGACGGTGCTTTGGTGAAACATGCACAGCCAATGTTTGCGTGTTTTTCTCTGAATATTTGTGCGAAATACTCTGTGCAGATATTTAATACGTTGCATACATGCTAATCTGCTAGTCGTGACAAAATTGCTACGGCTTATAGGTTCTGGTTCTTTATAGAATTGTAGTAAAATTCCCACTTTTGTGGGAATTGTGTTGTTGTGGGAAAGTTTTTGATAGAAATGTTTGCGACTTCACGTCTCACAACTGAACCATTTATTTAAATCTATGGACTATGGCACGCGCGGTGGTCCCGTGTTTGCGCAAGTTTATTTGCATGACCTTTAAAGGTCGCATTACTTTCCACTTCGCGTTTGTGATTTGTACGCACACGCACGTAAAACTCTCAACCTGTTTAAATGTTATTTATGAAATGCCCAAACAAATTAATAAACAGAATCTATTGTTCTTTAAGATTAAGTATGTATTTGTCAATTTTCTTTAAAAAATTAATGCGTATGAAAGGCGTGTGTGTGGACTGTGGTAGGATTGAAACAGCCTTTCCATCGACATTTCCATTGACATTGTCGCATTTTTGTACACACGCACATTTTTTTAGTTGCTGCTGCTCCTGTTGTGGTCTAAAATTATCTATATAATTTATGATGCATGGCTGGCAACTTTAGGTATGTGAGTATGTATATCGAGGATCGACGATCGAGGAGGATCGAGAATCGAGCATGGAATAATGATATTTGAAATAGACATGTGCTTCGCCTCTCACTATACATGAATCTCCTAGTTTTCTGTTTTTAACTTTCCGAGTATAGGTGAACGGCCCCGTGAACCTGCAGTAGTGATTTGTCTTGACTGAAATTGCCCGATTTTCGAGTACAAATTACCTTGCTTACCCGGCAGCAATTTTGTCCAGTCTTGGGAACTGCATGTAGCCATATGGGGTCCATGCATGTGTAACATTTGACCTGGTTGCATTGGTTTGTCACAAATCTTAGTTTTTCTCTTGGTTTTAATGGGCAGTTTATCGCAATGCGCTGTATTGTTTAATATATAGCCGAGCTCTTTCAATGAAAAAAAAATATGCTTCGAATCTTGAAGTCTGCGAGGTTGATAACTCACACTAATTCTCTTTGTCAATTGTCATCATTGATTTTTAGGCGATGCGTTACACGTTCTGTTTTTTTTTCTCTCATGCGAGCCCTGAGCTCTAATGACAGTAATGTTTTCGTTTGGCAGAAGAAACATTGCCCGAATTTAACTTTCAGTAGAATGTTCAAACTGAGTTTCCGGGATTAGGGGTCCACTAAAAGTCTAAGTTCATGCAAGAATTAAACTCGCCGAGTGGAGTTAAAAGCTCACTATATTCTATTAAACTTTTATATTTATATCAAGCGTTTTCATCCTAATCTAATCATGAGACCGTATATTATAGAATAATGGGGCATTGCCATTGAGGTTATCTGCATGTATACATCATATGGAGGGATGCAGGCTAAGGATATGCATAAGTCATAACATAGTCGAATATTTTTACTTGCTGTAGTCTATTAGAACTAGCTATATATATATAAAAAATATTTGGTTCGTGTCAACAGGTTCCGGCATGCATATAATATATACCGTTGTTGCATTGAGAATCTTCGTTCTGTCCAGATTCCTCGTTTTTTAATTTTACCAAAATGTAAACAAATTAAGTTTGTCTTTGAGTTTTTGCTTTCATGCATAATGTTTACTTCCTGACTGGCTGTGCTGAAGTGCCTTCTTAATTATCACCACACCGGGGATAAGTCTAGAAACTTTCTCATATTATCTCGAATGAAATTTGCCATGAAAAAAAAGAGAAGATATTTAACAATACCAAAGACGCCGTAATCACCTCATCAGACACTAGCAATGTGGGCAAACAATGGTTAGTTAAGCAAATAGTCTTGCTATACGCTTTAAGGACAAAAGGTGTAGTCATTTGGCTGGCTCTTTTGATTGATTAAAGTCTGTGGCGGTTATGACATGCATGTAATCAAAACTCAAAATAGTTTAATTTAATTTTTGTGGTAAGTTAACATTTAATTAAAAACTTGTTATTCTATACCTACAGTGCATTATATATTATATCATCATTAAAAAGACCTTACTTATGTGATGAAGCGTACTCCTTTAGTTGATCGAAATTTTTTTGTTTAAAAATAAAGGTTTCGTTTTTTCTTTTACTTTGGTAATTGTAAGACATGAATCAATTTATTAAGGTATTCAATAGATGTAATATAGTGCATGCTATTTATCGGCCTAAAGACTAAAGAGTGACACACGGTTTAAAAAATTGCAATGGATCTTATCAAATTTCTCACCAATTATTTTGTTTGATTAAATCCTTAGGGGGTAGATGTGGTCTGGGTATGTGGTCTATATCGGCAGAGTCATATAATTGGCCAGTTATTCTTGTCCTCTTAGTTATATTTTGGTGCATCTAAGCTCCGGGGAAGCATAAAATTTGAGGCAAAAATAGTTTTTGCTCTAGGACATTTGAAAAGTTGTGTAGTATGCTTCCGGCCACACTAATGCACTGCCATATACAGAATGATATTTCATAATTTGTAAAGAATA